GAGTTTAAACTATTTTTAATAATTTATTTAAAAATAAAAATAATTAATTAATAAAGTATAGTTTATAAGATATTATTATTTTGAATAATTATTAAAAAAAATTTAAGATAATATTTATCAATACAAATTTATTATCAGGAAGATATTTTCCTTCAGCTATTATTTTATAAGTCATATTTCGGTTAGGATTCTTGTATTAAATAATAGGGTTTTGGGAATAAGTATTTGTTTCATATGTGTATTCTTGTTCACTTATTCCAAATAAAAAGTTCTTCCATTTTTAAAGAATATACTTTTACGCGTCTTAATATTAATTTTCTGATTGGTTAATCTATTAATGTTCTAATTGGTCAATTTATTAGTTTTCTAATTGGTCGATCAAAAAATCATATGCTAATTAATTTTGGGGGTCTTGTTAAATAAACAGGGTAGTAACCAAATCTGCATCTTTGATTGATGTCAAAAAAAAAAAAACTTGATTCTAAATGTCGAGTATTCCTCATATTTCTCGCCCGAACTTTAGAAGCTTACAACTTTTGCGGAAGCAAACTTTCTTTGCCTCATGTATTTGTGAAACTCACAAATTTAAAAGTATAATTCGGCCAAGCTCTTTATTCTTTAAGCACAAACATCGATACGTTAATACAAGTACGCGAAAAGATGCTCGCAAAAGCATTGTTGAAAGTAGCAAAACAACAGAATGGAGTGACCTGACTCCCGCGGAAAAAGGTACCGTCTATTGGCGATTTGTCTCAACTTGTTAGCATTAAATAACATATGTTGGAAAATAAAGCTGCTGGTGCTGCAAAAGCTACAATAAACTTGGGAATAGTTGCATTGGGAGTTGGAGTTTTTGGTAAGAGTTTGTGTATATGTTTGTTTGCTTATCTGAGAAAATACTGGCGAATTAGTAATGAAAATTTATCGGAAACTCGCAAGGTACACTTGTTTATTTATTGTTTTCCGAGCTCTTCGGTGCAAATAGCTCAACTAAGATCTTTGGAGAAGCATTAGAAAAAATTAGGGCGAATTCCGAAGTAAGATAATTGGTTTGCTTTTTTCTTGATTTATCAACGATTATAACGTGTTTCCTTTATTTTACGCTATAGTGTCAGAAACTACTTGGGACTCCTATAAAGGTATTGTAAGTTTTTTATTCTTTTCATAATACCTTAATTAGCTCATAAACCACCTGGGGTCTCTCGTATGCAAACCAATAGAAAAATCAAGTTATCATACGATATATCATCAACGACAAGTTATATTGGCGCGGATTTTTTTCGTGTTTTTTTTTAACAAAAAATTTTCATTATTATTGCACGTGATTTCTTCTCCCTTGACAACATTATAGACCCGATTCTATTAATGGTAGTGGTTTATGCAGCAAATTATGGTAATGTTTTAAAAATATTGCATTAGGTGTGATACATTGTTTCATGTCGTTAGATATTTTTTTATCGATTTTTAATCTAGGGTCATGGAGAACCTAGTTCACATCCCAGACAGCGAAGGCACAGAGTCGGGTAAAAATTATATAAGTTTTTAATTTTCAAAATTCAAAATTAATTTCCAAATCTATTAGCTCTCAAATTGTCAAGGATACCAACGGCACAGAGCATCTACTTATGAAATTCTATGTTGAAGGACCGGAAAACGAAGGAATCGCTATACTTGATATGATTAAAGTACGTAATGCACTTTTCTTTTAAATTGTTACTGAAGGCTTTATCTTGCAAATGGTCAATTATTTAGAATCAGCAAGGAAAATGGGCTTATAAATATCTAATAGTTGATGTAGCAGGTAAATTTTTTTCCTCAAGGTTTTTATCAATTAAATTTTATTCGACTAAAATTCAAGTTTCAGCAAGGGGAATACGAAGAGAGCAAAAAATATTTGTTGAATCTAATGCTGACGGTGGTAATGACATTGAGAAGAAAAAGTGAACACTAAAATCTAATGTATGTTATTAAAGATTAAACTTCGTTCTTGTCGCTTTGTAATTCGCATGATTCAAATTTTAGAATTTGAATAAAACTTTTTCATTTATTTAAAGTAAAAGGATCGATCGGTCGATCCATCTATGTGGCTTAAAATAATCAAGGTTAAATAAATATAAATGTTCCCTAGCTCTCGATTAATTTTATTATATAACCGTTTCTGGGATCAACCTCAATTTATCAAGTTTTTCCAAAAGTATATAAAGTTTTAATCATACTGAAAATGTGCAGTGTTATAAAAAAATATGCTTATAAGAAGCAAGATATTTCTTTTTAAAGCTTTCGATCATGGTACAAAGTTTGATAAAGTTTAAAAAAAATTTCCATAAAAAGTATCAAAACTTTCCGAACGTCACGAGTTAATTTTTTTTTCTTCCATTATTATTTCAACGCAAATTTGCTATACCCAAGATTGGTAAATTCGCTTATGTTACATAACATAAGATTTGTGTGACTAAGCACATATTTTGACTTTTGTGACACGTGCTGCAAATAAATAATTCGTGATGCAATCGATGCATTACTTGTGCTGCAATCAATAAGGTTTACAGAATTTTTGAATATTTCACTTCTCGAGGCACACTCGCTTGTGTTATAAACTAGCTTCCCGCTCTTTTTCCATCTCTAAGATTTCGTGTCTTACTACTTTTCATTGTTACATTAAAAGAGTTGGGTTTTTTTTGTTCAACAATACAAATATTACAACAACAACAGCATAATACAATTTTCTTTCCTTCCTTTATTACACTCTGCCGCTTGCATGAAAATCATACAAATTTCAAAAACGACGACAATAAAGGCAGTTACTTCACACAAATACATACTACTATTAAAATATTTTTCCAATTTTATTATTACAGTTTTAGTATACACAACAAGATGAACTCTATGCTAAAGAAAACCAAGAATAAAAAGAATTCAGATAAAAGTAGCGAGTCAACAACTCCCTCGAGAACATCGGTTGATTCTCGATCGAACGATAATAGTAGCAACAATGAGAATACACACAGCATGGCGATAGCTTTACCAAACCGCAGCAGTGCAGCAAATGTTGCTCTTACTCTTCTATTGTCAAAGGCATTACCAGTAGTTGCAAGAGCACATAAAGCTTTTACTTCTAAAAAACCGAAACAAATCAAGCGAAACCCAAATGGGAGTGAAGAACAACTCATAAAAGAAGAGAATCCTAGCCAAGAGAATCATATCACGGTAGTGGCTTCAGGTAATTCTTCCATTTACTCGAGTAATGACAAACGACTATCAAGATCTCTAGATGCAATACCAATTGACACAACCTCTCGCTCAGAACATATGCGTCGACCTTCTGCACCAACTCCAATAAGAACAAATAATGATAGTAATAATTATAATAACAGCAATCATATTATTAATTCAAGGGTTATTGGCAACCAATTGCCGGCGATTAGTATTCAACATGTTGATCATACCATCACAACTACTAAGCCCAATAACATTCATAGTCATAATAATACGTCGACTTCGCTTATAATATTAAAAGAAGGTTTTTTAAATAAGAAAATCGATTTTGATCCAAAAACAGCAAATTCACGTGGATGGAAAGTTTATCGTGTTATATTGAGAGGGTCAAAATTATATTTTTATAAACCACCTTCTGAAGAAGTCTTAAAAACCTTTTTTGAAGCGAGTAAGAACAATAACAATAACAACGATAATAAAGACTTTATTAGTGGAAATGAAATTTCCTCTAATCTATCACCGATTACAGAAAATGAGCGAGGGATGGATTTGAATCCCGCAAATTTTGATTCTAATTTAAGGACATTAATTTTCGAAGGTGGTGGCACAAATAGTCATCATAATAATAATAATAGCAACAACAACAGCAACAACAACAACAGCAATAATAACAATTTTAGTTATGACGATGATAGCGGAGTAAACTCACCGTTAATATCTAAGTATTGTTTTGGGGAATCTTGCCATGAAGTGGATCGTACGATGATGCGATTCAAAAAATATGTTTGCTTACTCATTTTTGAAAATAATGTAGTCATTTGCAAACGCAAATGGTTAAGATATACTCTATTGGATGGATTGAAGTTTGGTGTTAGTGGTAATGTTAATGTTGGTGGTGGAAGTGGAGGTGGTAGTGGATCCTCTACTGCTGCTGCTAACCATTCATCGAATAACAACAATAACAATAATCTGAACATTGGTACAAATGGTTTGGTAGATTCCACAAATGGACAAGATTGGGACACCAAATCGGTAAATAGCACACGTGGAATTACCGATAAAGACAACAATAATGATAATAATTCTGCTAACAGACAAGGTAAAGGATACTTTACCAAATGGAAGTTAGATGGATGTTATCCGATCCATAATGTCGATGTTATTCCTGATCCGAATTTAACGTCTGGCTATTCGCCTTATATTGCGCCTTCATCCCAACCGAATTATTTCTCCTCAACTCAACGTGTTAATGATGATAACTCATCTATTAATTCATTTTCTTCAAATGTATCCGCGGCTCAAAATACTCCATCATCATCTGGTACATTTTTATATCTTTCAATCATGGATGGTGAACAAGAACAGTACAGAGTTTTTTGCATATCCAGTAGTGAGAAAAGAAAATTATGGGCAGCTAAATTATTTGCAGCCAAAGAAGCCAGTCTAAGAAAAATGGTAAGATTAAAATCTCCCAGCGAAATATCCAACGAGAAAATGCCGATTTTATCTAGCAATGAAACCTCAGAAAATTATAATGGAATTATTGCTACTAGTATCCCTGTAAATTTCGAAAAAACTGATTTAGGGAGTCCTGGTCTACGAAGAGGCAGGGCTTTTTGGGGAACGGGAAAACATTTTGAATTAGTCACAAAAGAACTTCCATATCAACAATCACAATCTATTAATATCTTTGAGAATCCAGAACAACTGTATCAAGAATCTAATGATCAGCCGAAAACAGAACGCTGTATTCGAGGAGGATCAATTGATTCGTTGATTCATGAGATGGTATTTCAAACTCAAAAAGGCGAACGAGATAATGATGAGTATCTTTATGCTTTTCTGCTCACATATCCGTTATTCACTGATGTACATTATATTTTCCGAGAATTAAGACGTTATGCTAGGTTCCATCTTGAAAATGATGAATCATCCGAATCTAAAGCAATTAGTAAAAGACTTATCACTATTTTGGAGACTTGGTGTCTTTGTTTTGATGCGGATTTAGCCAAGGAAGAAACTTTTAATGAAATGATTGTAACTGTAGATCAAGAATTGATAAGGAATAATGTTCCTGGCGCAGAAAACCTCAAAAAATTAATACAGGCCAAAAGAGTTCGAATAGAAGAAGAACTTTCTAAGACAACGTTTACATCATCGCCCCCATCGCCTCAATTCTCCCAAGATTATTCAGATCAGGAACCAACTTCATTGGATTTATCCAATTTACTTATTACCGGTCTAACGCCAGCATTATTCTTGAAAATGCAACCTGAAGAATTGGCACAGCAACTTTATATTTATCATTTTGCGGAATTTCGTAGATTTAATCCAGCCAGAGATTTGAAAAGCTTTATTCCATCGAGTACAACTATGAACAATGGAGAAAACCCATTAAACTTCACAGCTACGAAACCTCATTTTATCACCAGATTAATATTGCATCATCTTCTAATAGCGACACAACAATCTGCTTATGCACCTCGTAGACCATCTCTCTTAATCCATTGGATTCGCACAGGTGTAGAATGCAAAGTATTAGGAGACATGGTAGGATGGATGGCTGTTGTATCGGGTGTTTGCTCCCCTGGTGTAGTCCGTCTGAAAGAAACTTGGAAAAGAGTACCTGAGCAATGGCGAAAAGTCATTGTAAATGAATGGGCACCAATTTTATTAGATTGTGGTGGAATGGAAGGAGATGTCGATTCATCTAAATTAAGCTCTTTGTTACTTTATCAAAATGAAGATAGGAGTCCGTCAACTCAAGTAATACCATATCTTGGTTTAATCACTCTTAATCTTGAGCGTATTTACAATTCGATACCTGCTTTCATTGATCGACCTGGAGCTTCGGCCACCAATATTATTGCTTCCGGTAGTCGAAATGGATCTAGAGCTAATAGAACTAATAGCATTAATGGATTACCGGGTATTATTAATTTCGAGAAGTATTGGAAAATTTACGATTTAATTTTCCAAGCTTTTGAAATAGAACAATTATTTAGCAGTGGTGATTCAGTTGTTACCGCCATCAATAATAGATTAAAAATAATTGAATCAAGTATCTGTCCATTCACAGCAAAGCCTCAACTTCAAAAATATTTTCAACATTTAAACACAATTCCTGCATCATCATCGCTTGATGCATGGCAATTATTTGAATCGTCATTAGCGTGTGAACCACGAGTTCATGGACAATATTTAGAATCAAATGCACGTCAACGTAAATCACATTCAGCTTATTTTCCATTATTATTCACCGAAGTTATTCCATCAAATCGATTATTTGAACGTAAAGCATTTTTGGATGCAAGTGGAGCGCTTGGAAGGAAACCATCAAATTCTTCGATTAATTATGAGAATAATAACGGAAATGCAACTCTCACCAACACATCATTACCATCTCCGAACACTACCTCGTTTACCTTTAATATTGACCATGTTGATGACAATAATAATGCTAGTAATGAAATTAATTCTTTGGATACCAAGTCTAATAATCAACACAATCAAATAACAAACAATAATGTTAATAATAACAACCAAAATAGTAACAATAATAAGTTCAAAAATACTAGAAAAAGAACAACGTCATTACCACCAGCGAAAATCGGACCATTAACTTCAACCACCTGGAATACAGGATTAGATTTGGTTACGAGAAATTGGTTGGGTGGATTTGTTCAAAGTCGAGGTTGCGATAATGTGTTATTGAAATCAATGAAAGACATTGCCGGTGTAGATGAGATTCTGTTGTTTGTCAAAGATGGCGAATTAGTATTCAAATCGATTAGAGATGCAACTGGATCAAGACCACAAAGTATTGTTGAATCTTCGCCTCCATCAAAAAGAAATTCATTTATTGCTCTCGCCTATCATCAATTATCATCATCTACTACATCATTGGGAAGTAATAATAATGCCAGTGGTAATAATAATGATGAATCTTCACTAATGGTGGTGGTTAAAGCTGGAACTTTGGAACGTCTATTGGATGTACTCATTAACGGCGTTGCTTCTTATAGTACGAGTGTAGTTGATGATAATGGTGAACCACCGTTAATTATCGCGAAACAAGGACAATTGACCATTAATTCTGCTGAATATATGGCAACGTTTTTTGCCACCTATCGTAGTTTTTGTAGTGCGAGTATGTTGTTGGACAATCTGAAAAAGAGATTTATGAATGCAAAAAATTTAGCAAAATATCCACAAGATTCCATTCCGAACATCACCGCTATGAAAGAAAAGGAATCAGAGTCATCTGAAACAAAATATGACTGGAAAATGATTGCAACGATACAAACGCGAATTTTGTCTGTCCTTGAATATTGGATTCAGGAATCATTCCATGATTTTTTGGACGATTTGCCTTTGAAAAATCGAATGATGCATTTTATCGATGAATTTAACGTGGAAGTTGATCAATGGTCTAATCTGGTTAATGACGACGAATCCTCTCGATACGCGGAAGAAGTCAAGGCATTGGTTTTATCTCTCAAACGTTTGGCTTTGTTAAGGAGTTATGAACCATCATGTGACATAAAAGATGGAAAATCAATTGCTTTAATGGATGCAATACTTAAAGCTGAAAAGGCCATTGATACCAATAATAATATTAATTCTAATGTCCGAGATGATGTAACAGACTTACCGCCTATCGTCCAGTCGATTGAAAATAACAATTTTGCTGATTTATTGGATAGTATTGATCTTCTTGTACTTGAATTATTTGAATCCGTCTCACCCAAAGATTGGATTTTAGCTTTTGAAATCCTGGAAACCCAATCTGCCGAAGTTTTAGGTTGGTATCAAAAGAAACAGACAAGTTGGATTCCAGACGACGAGCTCGTGATCACAGATATATTCACCACACTCTATCAAACAAATTGGGTGAGAAATAATAAAGATTCGGTGCTTAACGTTCTTCCACCATCAATTCAGGCTCTTATTCGTCTTCATTATGGTATTCGCAATTGGACAATTCACGAAATTACCTCAACTCACATTGATTTCCAGTCAAGAGCGAAGAGAATTGATTCATTACTTAATATGATATCATTAAGTAGAAAACGAATGGTTAAAATGGATATTTATCCAAAAGACGAAGCATCACATCATCATCATCAATATGAATCTAATGAGACACGGAGAAGCGTTCCATCCTTTGTTGAAAGTGCTATCGTGGGCGGATTGATTAGCCCAGAGAGTAGATTATTTATTAGAGCTTGGTTGGAAGTCGCAAATCAACGTAATTGTTCGTTAGAAACATTGGAACCGTTATTACATTACTCTGTTAATGATATTGACAATAGTAATAACAGTAATTATAATGTTTCTTTGGTACCATGCGTTGGATGGTTATTTGAAAGGATGTTGGAGATTTGCTGCAATATTCCGGACATGTCATTCGAATCCGATAAATTAATTAATTTCGATAAAAGGCGCTACGTCTATAATCTAATTCAAATATTTGTGCGTTCTCAACTGGATCTAGTGGAACGTGCAGAGCATCGTCATCCGATTATTGATGTTCGATTTTTAAAGATTAATAATAATTCTTTGCAATTAAAAATCGGAAAAACTGATTTACGTGTGTTAAAAGAGATTTCAGCTAAAGAAGCATTTAATATGAAATTAGTTAATAAATCTTCGAAGCAACAGCTATTCAATAAATTGTTAAACGAACAGCAAGAGAAACTGAAACGCGATCAAAAGGAACGAGAAAAACTGGTCAAAGAAATTCGAGAAACTCAACACAAACTACAGAAACAAAAGAATGAAGAAGCTCGTCTCTTAGAGAAACGTTCAAAAGAACAAAAACAACAGCAACAGCAACATCAACCAGATCAATTACATCACAATGGAAGCCGTAAGATAAAAAATAAAATGCATGCACTCTTAAAGAAAGTTCGTCCTCTTTCAATAATGGCGTTTCAACACACTTTACTCGGATCTTATACAGGTTTTAATAATACTAATAATAGTAATAGCAGTAATTCTACTTCATCGTCACCCTCGACAAATTATCCTTCGGGAAAGTCAGTGTTGGTGATAAATCTCATTAACTCGCAAACATCCGTTGATTATGGACTCGCTCAAAAAGAATCAGTATTCCGAATTGTAAGTGAAGAAGGCGGCCAATATCTATTTCAAGCACTTAACGATGAGGATATGCATGATTGGATATGCAAAATCACCGAATCTGCTAAAGAAGCTGCTGCTAGAAGACTTACTGTGTTTGAAGCTGATGCCGCCCATGATGATGGTGGCAAGAACAGTAACGATAAGGATATTGATATTGATCTGCCACCAAAGACGCGTGGTTCAGGTGCTTATTATTTTTATTATTTAATCTGTTAACTTCTTTATTTATGAATATTTTTTTGCTAATAATTTTTGTTCTTATTCAAAGTTTATGGCAAAGCAATATCGACGCTAATGAGAAATGGTGAAATCCCTATTCTTGTCGAAAAATGCATAAGCGAGATTGAGAAACGAGGTAATTATTTTATATCAAGAGTTTTGGTATAAATGTAATATTAAATTATATGTGGTATTTATAGGTTTGAATGAAGTTGGTATTTATCGTGTACCTGGTTCTCAAACTGCAATTAACAATTTGCAAAAGGCCTTTAATACAAGTAAGTCAAGTTTCTCATGTATATTATATTTTACAACTATTGCTTCGCTTAACTAATTTTATCGTTTGATTTTAGACGCTCATTTGGTGGATTTAAGCGCAGATGAGTATAGTGACATTAATGTGGTTGCTGATGCTCTCAAGCTTTTCTTCCGCAGCTTACCTGAACCATTAATGACCTACAAATTATATGACGATTTCATACAAGCTGCTGGTGATTTAAAAGATATCTTTCTTATTTGAGGAATTGAAATTATCGATAGACATGTACTAACTTTTTGTTCTTATCAGGACTTGAAGATCACGACCAAAGATCCCATGCAATTAGAGATCTTTTGCAAAAATTACCACACTCAAATTATTGTTTATTGAAGAAACTAATTGAACATTTAGAAAGGTAATTAGTTGAACATATAATTTTAAATATCAGATTAATGCGCAAGATTTACAATAATAAATTTTGTATTCATTTCTTTTAATAGAATTACTGATTATGAAGAGATTAATCACATGTATGCCCATAATTTGGCAATCGTCTTTGGACCAACATTATTGAAATCACCCGATTTCTCCGTTACAATGGCAAATTTGGGACGTCATACTGGAATCGTTAAGAATCTTATACTTCAATATCATTGGTTTTTCAATATCGAAGAAGAGGCTACCGACAATGAATTCCACGAGTTTTCTGATCCTAATACCCAATATAATCCGCATTCGGAGCTACCAATTTCGGATGATAATTCATCATCCGAAGAGGCTGAACATGGATGGGAGGGTAATTCATCAGCTGCAGAGACCTATGGCGCTGAATCTTATGACGAATTCCAACAACAGGGCTCGATTATTTCCACTGATGATCAGTCGTTAATTGAAGAAGAATATGAAGATCATCAACAGTTAAAAAATATGGACACTGATATAACATCTTCGTTGGATGACGGTACTCAAGTAGTAGATCAATTCTTCATTGGCGCTGCTGCTACTGCTCCTGGCCATAGAGAATCCATGTTACCAGATGTAATAGAAGATCCCGAAGGAGAACGAGAAGAGTCGGATAATGAAAGATTAATCATTCCTAGTTGATGATTGATTACTCTATCAGGAAAAAATTATTTATAATTTCACACATGGCAATTTACCTCCTTTTGGATCGCATTGCGTAAAAACTAGCAGTTAATAAATGAGCTGCAAAAATTTTATATTATTTATTAAAACAATTTATTGACATAATAAAACTGCATATCTTACTTATATTATCATATATTATTTATTACATTTAATATTACACAGAACACAATCAATTATAAAATTTTATGTACTCTCTTTTTATTTGTATTATATTTATTTTAATTCATTTATTCATTCATTCATTTGTTTTATAGCTTGCTTTGTAAATCATCACACTCCGCATTATTAAAATCTGGTTGCTTCAAACCGACTTCAAACTCAGTTGATGTATTAGGAAATCGGATGCAAATCTATTTTATGATCTAAGATAAAAATTTTGTCTACAAGTCAATTGATGCAAAGAATGGCGACTTTACGAGTTTCTGACCTCTTTAATCGTCAATTATCATCAATCATCGATAGTAGAAGCATCTCTTTACTCCGTCAAATTTTACGCGTGGGCAGCTACCTTCATTATTCTGCCATTTTCACGAATTCATGGCGTGAAACCATAACAATAAATATAGGGGTTTTAGGTCAGCTTTTCGGTCCTTTTTTGTGGGCGGTGCCAAAGCAAAGAACTTCGCATAGTAAGAAGAGAATTCGATCAATGGCCAATAGTTCGCTCAAAGATATTTCAAATATTGGCACGTGTCAAGGTTGTGGTCGTCACAAGTTAACTCATCACTTTTGCTCTTTTTGTTACGCGGACTTTCGAAAACGAGCGAAAAAGGAGCGACGGATGGCTCAATCTGAAGATGACTGACTAATTAATTATATGCATCATTCATTATGTAATGTAATGAATCAATGAAGATAATTTTTCTGAATCAAATAAATCTCGCGCTAAAAAATTGAATTTTTTATTAATAATCCATGATCCCACATCCCTATTATTTAATCTAATTCTATTATGGTTGGTTTAGATTTTGATGGTTGTGATGAAGTAGTAGAATTGGACTGGTGATTTATACTTTGTTCAGAGGAATTTTCTATTTGTTGAGAAACAACCGGCGGCTGATAAGAATAATCATAATGAATATTCATTGGTTGATAGGAAGATGTATTAGATTGTATGATTACCTGAGGAATTGGTAGTGGCGAAGACGATGAACTTTGCGATTGGACCGGAAGATGTGTAAATGCTGAAGAATGTGATGGTATTGGTGAATTTGTGGAGAAAGATGAAGGTGATTGAATTTTTGTTGTGGGTGCTGGTTGTTGTGGAAGGTATATTATAGGTTGTTGATCAGCAATCATACATTGATGAACTTCTTCAGCTGCCTCGTTAAGCTCCTTATATCGAAGTAATATATTCTGCGCTTTTTTGAGCTTTCCACATAAACTTTTGATACATTCTACATCCTGAGTATCTTTGGCAAGCTTAATGAGAAAATCGATATAATTTCCAACATAAACAAAATGTCGCCCCGCCCTAATTAAATGAGGGTTTGAATTATATTAATCTTTTTCGCTTTGATCACATATATAAATTCATATTACCTTTCGAATTCAGGTCTCCAGACATTCATCACCGATTTCGTTGAAGCTTTTAGCTGAAACAAAGACAGATGCAACTTTTTGGCTTCTGTTGGATTGTTATCAACATGGTATAATAACCAAGCATACTAATTAAAAAAGATAATGAAATTATAATTTTTATGTTGACTTTTCGATTGAAATTTAAATAAACAACGGCAACATATATACCCTAAACACCGGACGATGGTGCCATTTCATCTTATCATTTTTGCGAATTTCCATTAGTCGTGCAAATATTAAATCAAACGCATGTCTTCGTTCCGAGACACTATTATTTAAGGGGTGAGGATGATGAATGTCTCGATTATTTGGGCTTTTACCGTTTTTAGTTGAAAAATCTTTATTTTGTAAATCAGGATCTAGGTAATTTCGAACAATTTCAGGCTGTTGATTCAGTTAAATAAAAAATCAGTTACAATCTTCTAAACAAAAAAATTTAAGGAAAATTTACAGTATATCCAGTAATTTACCTCGATTTGATTTCTGAACAAGTATTTTGCGAGTGTGGACGTTAACTTGTATTCAGTGTCGATAATCCTCTCTTGACCTGAATTGCTTGATCTTTCCGGTGTTCTATCAAGTGCCACTTTGTATAGTCGTAAAACGATCTAAATTTTATAGATTAGTATTCCGAGAATTTGTTACGATTGGACGAGAGCATAAACTTACAAGTGGATTCTTTCCAAGTTTCTGCAAACATTTACCAAGCATATAAGGTATTCTAATGGGTACGCATAGATCAAAATTCAAAATTGGTTATACGAGATTCTGTAGCAATTCATTTTTTTATAGGATAATTAATAAAATAGGACAAACCGCCAGTCTCGATTCATTGCATTAATCTCATTGGTCATATTTTCGTATTTAAGAGCCTGCCCAAAACAATACGCGGCAAAATTATACAAATCTTCCTCAGAAGGTATACGTAATTTCGGTTGTTCGTCACTTCGAACGGGGAAAAAACTACGTCGCGACATTGGTTCCGTAGTCATGAAGTAGACATGGGAACCAAATTCTCGCCAAAAATTAGTCAATTCTGTGCGTGAGATCGACTCGCCTTGATTGATTGGGCTATTTTGTATTTTCGCAGCTAATGTAAAACAAAGAAAAGACATCTGATATTGCAATGATATTCGGTTAGTATAGAATTAAACGTCATCAATAGCGGATATTTTTCATACGAGATTTGACCTTTTGATAAACAGCAATTTTTACAAATTCTTTCGTAATTTCAAGTGCGTTCCATGCCATGTTCTCTTCGGCTAATTTCGAATAACAATGAGCTAACGAGAACCATGAAGAGAAGTTATTCGGATTATAATATAAATGAAACTTTGAAGAAGAAAAAATTAATGCGCTAGATGGGATAGATAATAATGATTAAAATAAATACAAGTTTGTGAGTCAATAATACCGTGAATTGTTCTATTGCACTTTGTAATACAAAAATAGCCTTTGATTGATTTGGTTTAGAGCGTGTCTTGTATTGGTATTGATAGATTTTCCCGCGCAAATAAAACAATTGCTTTTGGATTTCTGGAATATTGAAATGTTTTAGTGAATCTTGTTTTATATGTAGTTGTCAGAAATTTTAAATACATACCTGGCGCATCATACTTTTTGAATAGCCGATAGTCAACATACTGATGGAGAATACAATCATCAAAGTCAATATCCATATGCAAATAGGCATCAATCCAGTTCCGGGTTGCTTGAACATTGACTAAAGAAACGTCAATGAGTCAATCGGTCGAATTTGAGTAACCGTTAAAATACATTAAGTAAAAAAAAAAGCATACGATCATTATAGTCAGGCAAACCGATCAATGATGCAATTTCATCCAAAGCCTCCTTAATACCAGTTTTCAGTTGACCAGTCCGCAGAGCTCTTTCTGTGATGGATGAATTTATCATTCGGAAAATGACTTTCGCCATCTTATCGTCCAGTTTAAGTGGTTCTGTTTTATGGTCTTCCAAAGAGTCAGGGTCGGCCTGTTAAGATGCAAATAATTTTGATTTTAGTGTTTGCAAAAAATATAAATATTCTAAATAATAAAGATGAACAATTACCCCAAGCAAAAAACCATACAAGCAATAAGCACACTGGAAATCATGTTCTTGATATTCCGGAGTATTCAATGAAGGAAGCACCGTCAAACAAAGTTTAAGAAAGGCGCCATTATCAGCTGCACACATCTCACGAATTCCCAACTGTTTATGCATTGTTCTTAGAAAATCGGCTATTTTCTCTTTCGAGTTGTCTAGTGGACTTATCGATATCAATTTGAACAACAGAATCGAGACTCTCACACAGAAGAGATTCAAGATAGCTCCGATGGTGGTGTCAGAGGTTGTGTTTAGGAAATGCTCGTCTTGCGGAAATAGTATTTCCAGCAGCAAGTTGTACAATAAACGCATGCTACTCTTGAATTTTCTTTGGTCATCTTCGTGTAGAGTTACTAACAGAATATTCGATGTTGTTAATTCGAGGTCTATAAGAAAATTCTTTAGAAGATGTCTTGATGAATCTTCTCACCTATTGATTCTATATTCTTGATGGTATCAGAAATAACATTAACTTGCTCATTTATCTAATAATAAAAATAAATTATCATTTAAATTGATGCTTTATCGTTAAGATGATGTTGGTATATAAGAAACATTAAAGACCGTATTCAATATAGTCCAAAATTGAACAATTTGATCGTCATGGGTGCCCATCGAGACAGAATTCACTAGTAAACTGACACATTCCGTAAAATATCGAACAGAGCGTGACCAGTTGTCTTTCGGTAATGAATCTTCTATCTCAACCAATTTGATTTTGTTATTTATCGTATCTTTATCAATGCACGCATCATAATAGCTAATGATAATATGAGAAAAGAAATCATTCATTGTATACAAGTCTGGCTAAATATAAACAAAGAATTTGGTGTATGTACACTCACAAATTTGCCATCAGAATCGATGAATCTGCACCATGATGGGTCTCTGCGTATTTTTCATAATTGACACCACAAAATTTGAAGTAATTCATCGCTGCGGATAAATGGCCTCTACAAAGCTCGATATGAGCGCGTACCCAATAATAGCTGGATATTAACATTAAAAAAAATATACTATAAGCATTAGCATCAAAGTAGTAAAAGCAAACTTAAACCCAAAATAACAACATACCGCACATAATATCTCGTAATCCATTTTCTCCATTCCTGGTTCTCAGAAGAGGATCCAATTATTTCGGAGAGAGATACCTTTAAGCTTTCTATTGTTGATATACATTTATCGAATACTGTTTTTTTGTCCTTTAGAAATATACATAATCATCGGATTAACAATCACTGTCAATTCCCATAATAAATGATTCTTACGAATCGGATGATTAATTCGATTAGATCTTACCATAGGAAAAATACCATCTTGTTGTTCATCATCTTCAAATCCTTGGAATCCTAATTTGGGCATTTTTGAGTCCCATAAAACTTCTAACATTCCCAGCAGTGCCTAAAAAGAGTATCTTTTATGTTAAATAAGAATTGAACAGGAAAAAAACCAATCATCGCATGAATTTAAGAAATTAATATTGATAATTTTTCTGTTCAGAATTAGACTGTTTAATCTAATTCGCAATAATACTACATATGAGCAATCAAACAATACCATAATATCAATCACGCAAATAATTCCAGCACGAATAACCATAATTCAATAATTTCAGACAGACGATAAATGAAATTCGACATACCTCCATTGCTTCCTGCATAGATCTTGATCTTTCTTGGAATTCCATAGTGTCTAATTGAGCTTGATAAGCAGCAGAGTTAGGATCAGGGTACCTACACGATTCATACAGGTACTCTATAATATGCTCTCCTTCCAGACGAATCAAGTCACATAAACGTTCCTTAAGGTCATCCGGCCATCGACAAAACCATAGTGGTGGTGTTTGTTGATGTTGTTTTTGTTCATTGAAGGGTGACGCTGTTATTGTTAGTATTTTAATAATAAATTCACGAATATGAGCAGAGATGCAAAGTTTTTTTGCGTTCAACTCGTTGACAAACGTCTCCAAGATTTGCCGATTGTTGTCATCAGAAAAGTAATTGTCAACAGGAGGCGGATTGTTATGTCGAACAAACATTGATAGTCGTACGGTGGAAGCTGTTTTAGGATCACTGATATAAATGTAGGTTAATGAAAAGCATATATCAGTATATTGTTAGGTATATATATATATATCTCTATCTATCTATCTATCTAGATGGTATGTATACCGAGACATCAATATTGTTTCTTCTGTTGTTGAATTAATGGCCGCTTCACTGGAAATAGTCTGCATCCAAGCTTTCTCAAAATATTGGAGTACAAGTTCGTTATCATCTTTTTCATTACTGATGTAATCGACATCGTATGGTCGAAAATCGGTTTCAATTGATTGTGAAAATTCGGAAGCAGCAATGTCACGCTGTTTTTTGAAATCGTTCTTTTCCAGTTTATGGCGAACTCTCTTTGACGTACTATAATTAATTTACAAATTAATTATATTTGAATTTGAATGCTTTTGATGATGATGTTTCAAAGATTATCCTACCGAACAGTTGCAAATGCTTTCTCGTCTGAATTTTCCAATGTCGTAGTTGTGATATCCTTCCGTTTCCTCTTTGTCGGAATATCCTCACAGTCTCTTGCTTCATTATATATATTGCCATCTGTGATATCGATAATCACAGGAACGGTTGGTGGTGGGATCTCTTCAGAACTATAAAAAAATAAAATAAAATAAAAAACAAATGTTAGATGTAATTTAATTATATAAACGGAGCAACAACCAATCTACCGTTTTCGAACTCTGTTAATTTCTTTATGAGTTTCCAATAATGTTTCCGCCAACCCTTTCCATGTACACACTTTCAAATTGGAATGTTTTATTTGCGCGCGTTCATTATAGATAGCTATTGAAGATATCCAATAAGAATCAATCATATTGACCAAAATTCAAAGTCGATGTAAAAGAATGCATCATTTAACCGACCTGTGGCTCTAATGCGTCTTCTTATAATTCCATGTGAACTTTTTTTGATTTGAGGAGCGGTCCAGTAATAATCCCTGTATAAACCAACAATGATCAGCTTATTTGAAAACGGTCAATGTGCCAAAATACAAACTACTAACGTGGACAAGAAATTTGTAACCCAAGTTTCCATCAATTGTGCTTTTAATTGATTCAGCATTGCATTGTTGGGATCAACTTTTAATCCGATATCACACAATTCAAGACTCGTTTCAAAGGTTCCAATATCCCAATGTAACTATATATCCATATAATTTTATTAGTCAAATGGAGATTCGAACGAAAATTTTATAATACATACACGTGCAAGCTCTTCCAAACACGACCACTGCAAGGGGGAAAAACTTGTTCGTGGTGGCGTCATTACAGGCGATGGTCCATAAAGACCTAAATTCGAAAACTTTAGCGCTAATATACGATTATCTATCACTTCAGATCCATACAAGATGGCAAGTTTGTAGGCAGATTGTCGGTCTGTCGCGTCAATATTCAGTGCCTATTATATAAATTAAAAACAATCGATAAAAAACAATATACTCTATGACCGTGCTATTTGGTGAGACAAAAAGTCTGATTATAAATATAATCACCTTCTTGTAATAAAGGATTGCATTATCTGCAGTACGTTTCTTTCGATCCTTTTGAAATTCCAGATACAAAATCTCTGCATAATTTTTGAAAACACCAAACTGTATTTGATGCTGAACTGTTGCTTGACTCAAATTTGTGCCATGCTCGATCTTTCATTCGGTATTTTTGTATATTATAGTATACGATATTATTTATGATTAAATCAAAGTAAATCAAAAGAATCTCAAGCAAACATAATAAATCTATACCGGTGGGATATCTTCTTTGATTATATCTTTCTCGAGAAGCTCTCTCAATATTCCCTTAGCTTTTGTTATATTGTGTAAATGAAAATTGTGTAAAGCAACGTTAAGTTGTTCTTGACAGTTTTTAATCTTGAATCACAATCATTTTAATGTTGTTAGTAACAGTGTTGTTGTTCTCTATGCACACTGACAAATGAGCGAGTTCCAACCTCTAGTTCACGCAAATCTACTACTGGTATTTGAGAGGAAGCCTCCCCCTCTTGGTTGAGAGGTGTAAATCGAATCTAAAATGTAAATTCGCAAAGAGAAAATTCACAAAGTATTTTTGAATATAATTTAACGATTTAACGTGTCTTTTCCTATATATGCTCGACTGACGAAGAGACAAGACTATAAAAATAAAATTGTGTCCAGCCTCCTTAATGAACTTCTTACCATTTTACGCGCGAAGAACAACGAATCTTCAAAAAGTGGCTTATTGATAGATAGATATTTGGGTAGCGATAATTGTTTGCTTGGTATATATTAATGTTCAAAGATCAAACTATTTCTTCAGATTTCAACAAAAGATAGTTGTCGAGATCAGTCCCGTGTATAATCATCAGCAATGGAGATGGGACAGTCAAATAAACACTTTGGAAAAGCACAATGATCTTATGTTCTATAGTAAATATATTATGACAAAATGTGATGTAGATAAATGTATACAGATGATTTGTGTTTGTTCTTAGAGTTCACTAAATTTCAATACTATTAAGGTGTAAATAAGTAAGTAAATAAATATATACCGTATTTGTTATAAAATTACAAAGTTTAAAATAAATTACCAAACTTTCGAGGTCTCTCTGACCCAGACTAATGATTATTTACTCATCATCATACTACTAATGTTTTATATATTATATATAAATTATCTCGAATTAAGCCAAAATTGAAATTGTATCGAAATAAATTATGCGGATTTGACTCTTGTATACAAGTCGCTCAAAATTATTCCCAACAGCCAATTACTCGTTGAATTGTGTTGCTTCGTCCTAACATGTCTGAAAAAAATACCACCGTAAAATCGATATGATGATTATTGACGTCAATGTGTATGAATTCATTATACATACATATGATAGATAATAAACACATACCGCATTTCCTCTTTCAATCTTCCCATTACAAAATTGCAAACTACTTCAGATCCAGCATCACGATGAGAAAAATTGTTGCTTCGGGAACTAGCCAAATGCTCACGTACATTATGTTTATCAATCCGATAAAACTAAAAAGTAATGTTCCTATTGAATGAAAAAATTAATTCTTGACCAGTTTCAGAAGTATTGCAATTAAAAAATGAGCTGGCAATTCTTCTAATTAATTCATCAGGAAATGTTCTTTATGAGATTCTCCGATTGTCAATGCTTCCGGATTATTTGGCTTGGGATCTGTAGTTTGTTTTGATTTTGTAGTTTTTTTTTTTTTGCTACTTCCCGATTATTTGGAGATGTAGGAGGCGTAGGCACTTCTGGATTATTTGTCTTGCAACTGTAATTTCTCCTGAACTTTTTTTAATTCGCTTACTTTTGATTTGTGGAAGCTTGTTGAGTCACCTTTAATAAAATATCTGTTTTTCACCTATGGTAACAATAACGATAGTAAATAATAGACTTCATAGGTCTTCAATTTTGCTAACATCAAAGTTAAAATCCAAATATTTACTGACTTTCATGTTTGAGCATATTCATCAAACGCACTTTCAACTTTAAAAACGGCTTAGTAATAATATCTTTCATCAGAAAACAGTTCACCCCGAAAAATAGTGATCTCATCCACATAATCACCACCGATAACTTCACTCATACATAAAAATTGAATTATGATTATACCATTCTCACGGGTTTGCTCGACTGTAAATATCACAGAACTGAAGAGTTCCCTCGACGCTTCCTTTCTTTATACAGTAGAGTCAATGTGAAATTAGGACTGGTGTGGTGCTGGTATCGAAGGAATAGATTAGATGGCCACTCTAAATACACGTATAAGAAATAAATTAACATACAATGATATTATTACCATCAGGATCATGTCCTCTAATAAAAGCTCAAATGCTATGTTGAAATTAGGAATCACCTTTAATGGTATTTTCGGGCGTTCTGTTGATATTATTAGTAATTGGTAGTTCAGCACCTCGTATTCCATAGAAAACGTCAATAATTTAGCATTAAATTGATATTTTAAATTTATAAAATGAAAATTTACATTTAATATAAAATAAGCGAACCTTGAATTTTCTTTTTCATTCGTTATGATAGTTTACGCATCATCCAACACAACCTCGCTATCTATCAAACTATCCATGGAAAATCCAAATTTGCATGACAAAAATCCGATAAAAATGAAGGCGCAATTGATGAATAGATATCCATTTTCTAAACCATTTTTTGGGAAGACAATGATTTACATGTATTGTTTATTATTTTGAATTTATTTATCAGCACGTACATGTTCCGCAGGTTTGGTATATACCCAGAGATATGTAGTACCCGTATTTACTAATTTCTTGTTCGACTTCGCGGATAGAACATCTGGCGCCAAAATGTTTACTGTCCGACTCAGTCAAAAATCTCGTGATATTATTAGAGGGCAAGTAAAATAAGCGAAGTCATGCTGCTATTGATAGAAGCATCGCCATTTTATTTTGGTTAAAGCTGAGATGTTCAAAGTAAATTATTATTATGTTCATGAGGTGCTTTTTGGTAACAAAGAGCCTTCATCATCTGATACGCCATAATCACTTACACGTAAAGGCGCATTTACCGTATATAGATTGCCAGTTGTCTTAGAATACACCTGACTTGTGAGTCTAATTCTCATTTGCAATCAATTGTTTGATCAATGAATAATAGTAATAATAATTTACTTTGAACATCTCAGCTTAATCAAAATAAAATGGCGATGCTTCTATCAATAGCAGCATGACTTCGCTTATTTCACTTGCCCTCTAATAATATCGCGACCGAGTAAGTCACAAGCTGCTGTTGTTGCTGCTATAATATAAATAAGCACGTGCCAGGATTTTTGTCGATCCCGGAAAATTTTACAAAGAAGTTGCTCGCATCTTCATGACTGGGGAAATGTATGTGAGCGTAGCTACAAGCGCGTGAATGAATTTTTTAAAAAATCAACAGAGAACATAGAGAATATAAATTACATAGAAATGCTTTACCCAACATGCATATTTTTTTTTACATGCACGAATGGAATTTTTTGTAATTGTTAAAGGCGATTTTAAGAAAGACTAAGGTAAGGAACAAGACTATCGCTATACACTTCCGACATTTTTGATTAATACTCCAAGTTTAGGTTTAAGCATCTGTTTTCAATTTTTTGTGTTGGATTATTACCACATTCTTATTGGTTGATTATCATGTGATCAGGAACCGAGATAATTAATAATAAAGAATTATTATTAAGAATTATTTTTATAATTAAATATTAATGAAATTATTTCTATATTCAAGATAAGTGACTCATGAAGTAAGAATATTAACATATCTAAAACTAATAATAGCAAAATTAGTAAAGATATTATACTAGATATATATATAAATTCATATCTGTAGATTTCAGTAGAAGAAATAAAAGTAATATCTATTATGATAAGTAATTTAATAATATCATTATCAGCATATGTATTACTTATCTTATTAATTATTGCAATTATATAATTTGTAATACTAAGATATAAATAGGATATAAATAGGTTCAAAGAGCTATTGCTTTGCAAGTCCAAAAAAGTAACCCTAAAGAATCATAAAAAAATAAGTAGCTATGAAATATATAGATTAGATAGTCAGATATATTTTTGGAGATATGACTAAATTTTTGAAATAGTAATTTGCAGATATAATAAAATAGTAAAGTATATAGATATAATAGAATAGTAATTCACACAATTTTTATTGATATTCAAAAACTGATTCAATTTAATTAAAAATATTAAGAAAAATGTGAATTGCTGACCTAATAATTTTTTTCCCATCAAGAATTTTTTTATATTAATAACCATCATACCATTTCTATATCAAGTCTTCTTACCTATTCCTTTTTATCATATAAAAACAGAAAATAGATATATTTATTATAATACTTTGAGTATTATTAAGTAGAAATAGAAATTCAATATTATATATCTCATTATTAGATGATATTCAAATGAATTATATAAAGCTAATAACTGCTAATAATTTGATACTACATATCTCATTCTTAATTAATATTTGAGTATATTATATAAAGAATATGAATACTATTTCAGTACTACATATTTTATTCTCAGTAATCAAATATGATAATTATACTCTACTATACTTTGTATCTGAAGTTACTATGCTTCTCTATGATAGAAAATAATTTAGTAATCAAATAAGAGGGCATATATTCTATAATTGATCTATCACTTGAATGATAAGGCAAATACAAAACATGTATTATCTGATAAACAAATTATAACTATTCTAAAGATGACAAGATAAATATAAATCACATGTTATCTAATAAGTAAATTATAACTATCCTAAAGATGACAAGATAAATTCAAATCATATGTTATCTTTGAGATGTTTATAATCCATATTAAGTAAGATACTTGAAGTTTATATAGACTTTAAGTATTTCATTAAATAGATTTTATTTTTATATTCAGTAATTATATTAGAAAGATTAGCAGAATTAATCCTAATCATAAATTATAAATAATTTTATTTAATATTAAAGAATGAGTAAATAATTATTAGTTATTTTTTAAATATCACATCTAAATATTAAGCTTTATAGGATTTTAGAAAGTAATATTATATATTTTAAATTCATAAATTAAAAATCAGTATAGAAGTTTGTGAAATATATATAGCTAGTAATGAAAAGATGGTTTATTAATCAAGATTATTAATATATTATTCTATATTTAAGATAATCATTATATAATTTATTTCAAATAATAGAACACAAATAATATAATTAATATTTTTAGATCAGAGATATATGATTTACTACTTATATCAGTTATTAAAAATAGAAAATCTCTAGATCTGATTATATCTGACTAAAAATTTATACAAATTTAATATGAATTTCTTCTTATTCTTTCATCAGATCATCTAGTTATATAGTACTTAAATCACTTTTTAATATATTATAACATAATAATTCTTCTTCAATTAGCCTATTCCAATTTGTTAAAAATTCATAATATTTTCTAGAATCTTCTTTATTTTTTATTTTACTATGATAAAAATATATATCCCTTTTCAAATTCCTATAAAAATATTCTATAATCCATCTATTTTTTTCAATCTCTGTAATGATCAAAAATTCTTTGGGATTTATTCCATGTTTGATGATATACTAATAAAGATGATTTTTGTTTAGTACCATTATCTGAGTTTCCAACAAAATATCTTGTATGATATAATTATTAGCATTTTGCTTTGTAGTAATTCAGAAATTTCAGACTTTATTCAAGAATCAAGTTCAGTCTCTTTCATATATACTTTATATAATCTAAAATAAATTTATCTGTTTGAAAACTTGATAAATCAACTAAATTAGCATGCCATTTGTAATAATCATCAGTTAATATCTTGCTGAAGATAGTATCAAAAGATATCTTATCATTTTATATTAATGCAAGTCAATTCAAAATCACATAGCTGTTAAGAAAAAAAATATATCACTATCTACTTGTTCAGGTTTATATAATTATTTACTTATGCTGTGATCTCAATTTCTTGTTGTTCATATTTAATAAAATAAGATCCAGCTTCATATCTATCTCTTATACTTTTCTCATCCTTATGACTTAATTTACATGCTGGACATAATGACTTATCAATAATTCCATAATAATCAAAATTTTCACTACTAAATTCTCCATATATATCAGGGTATCGACCTAATATTTTATTACAAAAATAATCACGATCATGAGTTAGATTATTCTGCTTTTCAGGTAAGGCTTTCTCAGTAATGGGTTTTAAGGCAGATGGTATAGATGATACACTTGCATGATCTATAGCAGAGCTAGTGCCAAGACACATCATATTTTCCGGCAATATATTATTAGATGAAATACTTATCTTTGCATTAGTCTGATCGTCACGTTTCGTCAATAATGGTTCTACTGAAGTTACATTCTTGATAACGTTTTGAATTTGACTATTAGTAAGGCTTGAAATGGCATATATACTATAGGTAACTTGCTTAATTTTTTCTATTCCAACTCCATTTTTTCCAAATAACATCCGAATTCTCTTGGCTCTTAAAGTTTTCATACGCAAGTTTCCTGATGTAATACCAGGTAGATGACTTAACATTTCCTTGTATAATTGTGTTCTAGCAGTTTTATCTGTAACACCAGTCTCACGGCAAATTTCGATAACTTTATTTTCAAAACTATCAGAGTAATAGTACCAAGATAGGATTTCTTCATGTCTAGCCCGTATTGCATTTTGGAATAAACAGACTAATCTCTGCGTTGTAACTTGAGATAATTGATGCTCCGTAATCTCTAAGGAAACTGGTGAGACAATGTCTCTATTATATCGCAATTGTTTCGTTAATCCTTGCTCTATACACTGACTTTTAGTGGGCTCAATTTCATCAGGCTCCTCAGACACATAAATGTTATGATTTGGAGACTTGCTCCCTGAACTTTCCTGCGATAAATGTTCTTTCGTTTCTATATCAGGATCCGAAAAGTTTTTTTGTCGATCGTCATGATTCGTGACGGAAATTTCTTGGCATTTTTCTTGTATTAAACTTTGCTCATGGCAAATATTATTCTCAGAAGTTGAGAGTAACTCTTGATCTCGAAGTTTTTTTTCCCTAATGCTCTGAATTATATCATTACTAACCTGTTCCTTATACATTGAATTCACAAATTCATCGACCATCTTATCTTCCGGTGATACGGGCTCAGGTGGATGAATGTTGGAATAATTGAGTGTGTTATCGGGTGTATTTTTAGGTGAGCCATTTTGAGATATCTGTTTGGGTGTATTGACTTGGTACGAATGTGCCAGCTCATGCTGAAAATCATTATTAATACTTTGGTCCCGCTTCTCGATTTTATCAACAGTTTGTTCCAGTTTCATGATTTTGACCTTAAACTCGACATTGTCTTTTATAATCTGTTTTAATTTTGTATTTTCGTGTTTAAGCTCCGCATTCTCAGCTTTAACCTCGGTGTTCTCAACCTCAAGCGCAATGATTTGCTGTTTCAGTAATTCCAATTCTGATGACATAAGTAGTTATTAACGGTTTTATATAGAAAATGGATTTATTCAAAACGCCGAGTTTGAGAATATATACGTGTATGTAATAAAAAATCACGTGCGCGTTCCGAAACAGAACGTCGATTACTTTTGCCAAGAAAAAAATATCTCCGGAAGTTCGTGGCGATTTAAAGGTAAGCAACCATCAGGAGTCACAGCACCCTAGATATCAATGACGCTACTGCGGAATTGGGTAAAGTTTATGTATGAGCTTATAAAATCTCTGAGGCCAATTACATCGTTAGGAAAGATTTTCAGTCATATATATGTATCAGATACCTCAAAATGTACATGATTAATTCCGCAAACTAGCCTAGCATGTAACTTTATTCATGATCGTAAAATAGCCATTACTCATAAATTTAACTCAGAACTAAGCACTAACGTTTTTATACTTTTTGGTTACCTCTTTAACTTTAGTAGCCTTTTCTGGAGATTTGAAGGTTTTTTATACTTTTTGATTACCTCTTCAACTTTAGTAGCCTTTTCTGGAGACTTGAAGGTTGGACATGTAACGGTCCTGGAAGTTGTAAGATAACCTGCTTGCTCATTAGGTGGAGTTGAGGGACACGAAGATGGTTGTGTAATTTCTCGTAAGAACGATGCATCCTCAGAATCGTCTTTTAACACTGCGATGCAACGTTGGACTCTCAATTTCGCTCGAAGGACAGGAACATTTGTTGTTGCTTCTTTTATGAGGCGTAAACACGAGCCACCTCCGTAATCCACGAGTAATTGTTGCAATTGAAGACGCGAATGCAATAAACCGATGACCTCTATTTCCTTGGCCACTGCTTCGTTATGGTTGACCACACTTGATAGTTGATCGAACATATTCTTTCAGAAGTTTTCCAAGTTTCAAAGAGTCGCCCAATTGTTTCTTATCATGTGGGCCTTGACATATTTTTGCTACTTCAATTCCTCCATATTCATGGTTATTAACTGTACTTTTGAAAATGCCGTCAGGTCGACGTCCACTTGTTCCCTTCTCGGCCTTGTTCCTATTGTTCTTCTTTCGGTTGCCCGAAGCAACGCTCGCTGAGTCACCACGGACAAGTTCAATGTCTTGGACCTTTAAGAATGCTTTATCGATCATTATACTCCAAATATTAATCGTATACCACCCTTCCAAATGTATGAAAACACCTGGTGTACGTACTGGAAATCAAAATGCTCGTCTCTGTTATATGTTCCGCTTAACCAGGGTTTCA